GAAAGGGGGAAATGAGAGTTGAGAAGTACAAAGGAAAAGCAAATACAAAAAGGGAACTTAAGGGCCAGCTGGTGGCACAGCGGTTAATAGGCCTGTTAACCTGTCAGGTGGCTGGCCGCGGTTTGAGTCCCAGACTTGATGGCTTGCTTTCTCACTTTCTCTCTTTCTCTGACTCTCTTTGGTGAGTGCACATGCATGGTACCACATTAAAAAATAATAATAATGGAATATTTCGTGGGCCATAGGAAAAAGAAGGCAGCGGAGTCAAGGAAAATAAGGAGCCCGAAAAGCCAATAGACCGCAAGAAGACAAGCCCTCTCTTGCTGCAGGTTTTCACCACCAGTAACGGTTGCCACCACCAAATGGACGCATTTGCCCACAGGAAATGTACAGTCCAGCGAGCTGCAGATCTGCACTTGGATGGAGGCAACCTTGAAAGAACTGACTAGTTTAGTAAAAGAAGTGTACCCAGAAGCTAGGAGGAGCACACACTTCAATTTTTGCAGTTGTTTTCACAGACCTTAAAATACCTGGCTATGGGGACCAGCAGTTGGCATAATGGCTATGTTGCTGGACTCCCCGGTAGTTGACCGCAGTTCGAGTCCTGGGCCCGGTGGCTTAAATCATGCCAGGCGCGTGTGCGTGCATGTCCAAGATCCTGAGAGAAGAATGGAGGAGAAGGGATTGTGGTATGGCCAACCCCCTGGGGGGTGATTTCTTGCTTTCTATCTCTGTCTTTTTGGTGAGCATACGCACCCTATAGCAAAATGATCTCCAAAAAGAAGACCTGGCCATGGAGTTAAGATTGGCAGCACCACATCCAGAAGATAGGAGACTGATGATTCCATGACCCTGGAGTTGCAGAAGTTCCAATGGGAGATTATTTGAATATAGCAATTACCCCTCCAAATTAGGCACCACCTCCTTCAGGGCATATAAGACGATATTAAATTCTATTTACTGTTTCTTGAATTTCTTTTTTTAGTTATGTAAATATACATACTCTTCTCCCTGATTATTGCCATTAAGCTTTTAAATTCTAAATAAATTATAATGCAAAATGTAATTTAGGAGTTAGATTTGGATGTGCTATGGTATGAATATGAATAGCATATTCATACCATAGTCTGTATGTTTCAAGTCCTTCTGTAAAACATAAAGTGCTCTTAACATCTTGTGTAAAACTATATTGTTAAATATATGCGTGCAAATCCAGACCCATCCTGAGATGGCTACTGAACTTGAGTGGTGAAAGTTTGCTTTTATTGACTAAAAATGAAAATTTTCTGCTGATACTCTTCCCTCTAGATTCATTTCTAGTGGTTAGGGCTACCTCTGTATCCTTCTCTCCATCTCTCTGTGTCTCTCTGTGTCTACCTGTGTCTTTCAATTTTTAAATTATTTTTTAATGTAAAATATTCTCCGGGCTCTCAAGCCCCTCCTTTGTTGTGTTAATTTGTGCCTTTCCCCATTCCATTTAGAAAAGGCATAAACCCAGGCCTATCATGAGATGGCTACCGAACTTGAGCTGTGAAATATTGCTACATTTTCATTTTTTACTTTTTACAATTAAAATATAAAGTTTTTTTTTTCTTTTTCATTTTATTTTTTCTTCTTTTCTCTTCTCTAATTCTTTTTCTTTTTTCTTTATCTTTATTCCTTGGCTGTTCAGTCTCCACGTACTAAGTATCTAGACAGGTCCAAGTGAACAGGATCCAAATATCTGAATATGATTAGGGACAGACTATTCCTCAATTCCCACTGAATCTGATGCACAAAGAATGAAAAACAGAATGGAAGAGAGATTGCAAATGACCTTCTGCACGCCTTTGAACTTTCAGATTGAACTTTAAGAATTAGGAAGAAATGCACAACCCATCAGATGACCAGAAGTCACCGCAGGACCACAAAAAGTATGGGAAAGCAAGAAAATACCCCTCCTCCAAGGGAAAAGAATAACTCTTCTTCATCCTCAGACAGTACAATGAAACTCACGGAAATGTCAGATAAAGAATTTAGAATATTTATAGTGATAAAGCTAACAGAGATGGAAGAGAAGAGAGAGAATGAATTGCAGAAGAGACGGGAGAAAGGACCTGATGACTTCCAGGATATGAAGTTCTTGCATGACCTGAAAGAGGAAATACACACCATAAAAAAGACTCAAGTGGAACTGCTACAGACGAAGGCCATAATCCAGGAAATCAAAGCCTCCCTTCAAAGTATCAAAAGCAGACTAGAGGGACCAGCAGTTAGCATAATGGCCATGTTGCTGGACTCCCATGTAGTCGCCCGCGGTTCGTGTCCCAGAACAGGTGGCCTCAACTCACGCCAGGAGTGTGTGCATGCATGCCCAAGATCCCAAGAGGAGAATGGAGGAGAAGGGATTGCCATGTAGCCATCTCCCGGGGGGATGTGTAAGACTTTCAAAAAAGTTAAGTTTCCTGAGCAGACAAAAAATTCAACTTGGAATTGCCTGCCTGCTTTTTGTAGGAATTAAATCTCTACATACCACAGTCGTCTCACAAGTCTGAAGACAGCGGCTACCCACTACAGACCATAAACAAAAAGACAGTGGAGCCCGTATCCCTGACAGCACCTTACCAGATCGGGATGTGATACTTTTGCACTTCTTGCATGTGGGAAAAAAAAAAAAAACTTATTTGGTCACCCCTGCAGCTGGGTTTCTATTTAATATTACAACAGAATCTGTTATTTTTAAATTATTTTTATTTACTTACTATTATTTTTTAAGTTTGCTATAGGGCATGTATACTCACAGAAAGAAACAGAGAGAAAGGGAAGGTAAGCCAGCCACCAGGCCAAGGACTCGAACCACAGTCAGCCATGTGGGAGCCCAGTGCCCCAACACTACACCACCTGCTGGCCCCAGAATCTGATATCTTCAATGATACATTTTTATCACAAGTTACAAGTTATACATGTTCATTAAAAACACAAAAACAGGGCCCGCAGGGGGCATGGTGATTAAGGTGCTGGACTCACACATGGTGGACCAGAACTGGTGGCTTGAAAATCATGCTGGGCACATGTGCATGCATGTCCAAAATCTCAAGAGGAGAAGATAGGAGACGGGATTGTGGCATGGCCATCTCCTCTGAGGAGTAATTTACTACTTTTCCTCTCTCTGTATCTTTCTGTCTCTTCTCTGGCAAGTGCATACACTCTATGACAAAAACCCTAAAAATAAATAAATAAATAAAACTTCTCTCTTGAGACCAGCAGTTGGCATAATGGCTATGTCGCTGAGCTTCCACGTAGTCAACTGAAGTTCGAGTCTTGAACCTGGTGGCTTAAAGTCATACTGGGCACATGTGCATGCGGAAGATCCCAAGAGAATGGAGGAGAAGGGATTGCAGCGTGGCGATCCCCCTAGGGGGTGATTTCTCGCTTTCTGTCTGTCTCTATTGGTCTTTCTGGCAAATGCACAAGCACTATAGCAAAAACTTCTCCAAAAAAAAAAACCTTTCGGGACCAGCAGATAGTGTAATGGCTATATCACTGAACTCCCATGTAGCCTACTGTGGTTCAAGTCCTGGACCCAGTGGCTTTAATTTACCCCGGGCGCATGTGCATGTGTACCCAAGATCCCAAGAGGAGAATAAAAGAAAAGGGATTGCGCCATGGTCATCCCCACTGGGGGGTGATTTCTTGCTTTCTGTCTCTCTCTCTCTCTATTTCTGGTGAGCACACGTGCCCCATAGCAAACAGCTGTCTTAAAAAATAAAAATAAAATAAAAAAAAAAAAACCTCTCACCATTTTGCACCTAAGATCAATGGTATGTATTTAAATTGGTTGATTAAGGAAGCACTCTGAGTGGCTATGGAATCTATGTATTTGGTATAAGATTCTTACTGATACTAATATTCATAACCAGATAACTAAATAAGTTAAAATTTATCCTAGTTTCTGGGTTTTAGCAACATATATATAATTTTGAAAGAGTCATGATTAAATGAATTCCTACTATTTATTCTCATTAATTCTTAATGCACTAACAATAACAAGTAATAAAAACCATATCATTTTTCATTAATCTTTTATTTTTAACTTAGTTTTACAATAAAGAAACAGAAAAGTTGATCATTAAAAAAATACCATAGCTGTCAATTTAAAATTTAAAATGAGGTTCTTGTTAAACAAAGCAGTATCACTATACCCTATAATTACATCTTTACTTTTATATACAAGAATTGTGTGCAAAGTGCTTTTCAAACTATAAAATAAGACTTTGGAACAAAATAGGAATGGTTATCCTTAGGAGTTAGTTACCCCTGACTATCTGTAATGAATTACAATGGCTACATTCTTAATTTGCATTTTATTTATTATGTATGAAGGGAAAAGACACCATTTTCTAATACCAGAAATACCAGATTGATACCTAATTTCTGAAAAATAATCCCTGATCTATAGGTCTGACTTTATTTTTACATATAATTCAGTTACTTGCTTTATTTTTATTCCCTACATAAATAGAGGACCATTTTTAAAAAGCAAATAGTAGATCCCTTTAGATGTACACAATTTAATCAACATGGGATTAAAAAATAAAAATATCAAGGCTACAGAAACAAAAAATGACGAAAACAAGAGTTTGGTGAAGCAAACTGTATTCTTACATACTTTTCATTAGGCAAACAAAAAAATAACCCTCATATATTAGAGATGGGTTAATTCTTTCCCTCTTATTTAAAATGCTCTGTCCTGGGACCAGCCCCATGGCCTAATGGTTAAAATGGGAGCCAGAACACACAATGCTGACTGTGGTTTGAACCTGACCCTGGCAGCTTGAAAAACACACTGAATGTATGTGTGTGCATGCCCCAAATCCTGACATAGTGGAGAAATGGAGGAGAAGAGACTGCAGCATGACCACACCCCACTGAAAGGGGCCTTCCTCCCTCTTTCTCTCTCTCTCTCATTGTCTCTCTGTGGCAAGCACACATGCCCTCTACCAAGTTTCTTTAAAAAAACAAAAACAAAAACAAAAAAACTACATGAGGCTAAACTCATCATACATATCAAGAATGCTTAGAAATTATTTTCTACATTTGCCTTCAAATCAACAAAATCTTTGAAGAACAAATTGCACCTAAAAGAAGAGGTTTTGCAAGATATACAGGAAGAATGATTTCCCAAAACCTTCAGGGGTCTAAATTAGACCTTTTTGCTCTAAATGTGAGATGTGGGGTGAAGGGACTTAAATTTCCACTAGCTGGGCATGCCTTATTCAGATGGAAGCACATGGCCTGTTAGCTTGCAAGTCCTTCCAGTACACATGAAGTAGGTATATGGCAAATATTATACCCCGAAGGAAAAACTGAGGCACAAAGAGGTAAGAGTCCAATCTCTATAGTTTTACCAGATGCAGAAAAGTGATTTTCATGTGTTTCCTTTTGATCTTTGTAAAAAGAGTATAAATAAGTTTTCATTTTATATTTCAAAGCACCCTATGAAGCAGACACTAGATAACCTACCTCAGTTAAAGAAAAAAATGATTATGAAAGAATAAATGTATATGATTCAATAAAAATCTTATTAATCATCTGCAGGTGCAGAACACCCTTTTAAATCTATACGAAGCCCATTCTTCATTTCCTTCAGCAGGTGTTGTCCGTCCTGTGAATCATTTGTAAAAACTAAGCATAATACAGAGGGCTCTATTAGTACACAGGGCTCTGATTTTAATAATGATGCCTCAACACCAAACTCACAGCTGTGAATGCCCACGAAAGATAATGGGCAGTCCCCAAAGTGAAAGTGAAGATCCTTCCAGTAGTTTCCTACCATTTAGCATGGCAATTCTGTGACTAAGATGTAAAAGTTGCTTTAATGTCATTTGAAATTCACTCCTGGTTTGCATTCTTCCTCATATTAATTTAGAAAATTTAAAATACCCACTTAGAAATCTGATCTCATTATCTGTACCTTAGAAAAGCAGCTTATATTCTCTATGGGAGATAATCAGGTAAATGTGTTACCAAACAATAATTAATAATTTAATGTCCTTCAAGTTCAAGGGTAGGGTAAATCTATGTATGCTACTTATAACCTAGTTGAGATTGATTATTCAAGTATCAGCAATATTAGTCCTTAAAACGATGTCATTTGTGTAGTGCAAAATATGTGTATGTATATATGTACACAAACCAAACTGCCAGACAATGGAAAGAAATGTAATCATCACAAACTAAGAGCTTTCTTGCGAACACCACAATCCATTTCATCCTGAGGTCATCCAGGCCCAGTAATCTTCTTGAATAAAATACCATTTTCTTCAGTTCAGTTTTCTTTAAAAAGAAAATAAAACCAATTTCTTGTGAGTATAAATGTAATCAGAATATGAAACACATCCACATCAAAGAATTCTCCAGATGATAACATAACATTCAAATTTAAAATAAACCATGAAATAACAAATAGTCCTTTTTAAAACTGTTTATATGACTTATAGCCTGAAAGATCCAATTGCAAGTGCAGAAAGTATCAGGGTTTTAAAATTTATTTACTTATTTTTCATTTGAACAAAAAGAGACAGAGAGGAAAGTGAAAAGGCAAGCTGCCAAGTCCAGGACTTGAACCTGGTCAGCCATGTGAAAGTCCTGCAGTTTACCACCATGCCACCTGCTGGCCCCGATCAGTTTTTAATAATTTGAATTATTTACATTCCTTCTCTCTTATCTTCTAGGATCTCTTCCTTTCTAATTGGCTTTCACACAATTATGATTTGGGAGAATTATTTCATAACTTTATCAAAGTTGAAAAGTTAACAAAAAAAGCTTCATGAAACTAAAAAGAGGGGTACAATCAGGGGCACCTGGATCCCACATGGCCAAGTCCACTGTTCGAGCCCCAGGCCCCATGGCTTGAGAAACAATGCTGGGCGCATGTTCATACAAGCCCAAAATCCGAAGAGGAAAGATAGAGGAGAGGGGAGTGCAGGGTGGTCATCCCCCCTAGGGAGTGATTTCTCGCTTTCCTTCTCTTTCTCTGTCTCTCTGGTGAGTGCACGCACCCTACAGCAAAAACTAAAAACAGAAACAGTACTATAAGAAGCTGACGATGTACCACCTGGATTATTCATATAACCAACCCATACTGTCACTATTACTTTCTAGGTAACAGGGATTCAAAGACATGAGGAAGGTTCTCAGACCTCAAGAGAGCTCTCAGTTTAGCTGGTGGGGAAGGGAAGCTATATAAACTGAAAACCTGCATATATGACATGTGACACATATATGACATGAGACAGTTTTAATGGAGCAGATTGAGAGAACAATTATCAGAAAAGGTGTGTTTGGGACTGGCAAGTGGCATGGTGGTTAAAGGTGCTGGACTCGCACATGGCTGACCATGGTTCAAGTCTCAGACCTGGTGGCTTGCTTTCTCGCTTACTCTCTCTCTCTCTGTGTCTCTCTGATCAAACTGGAAAATAATAATGATAATAATAATAAATAAAGTTAAATAAAATAATTATTTTTAAAATGAATAAATAAATAAAAAAGAAAGAAAAGGTGTGCTTGTTAGCACAAGACGCAGTCAACGACATATGATCCGAGTTCTGGGGAAAGGACTGCTGCTGTAAATCCCCAAGGCCTCCCCAGCTCTCGAGATGCCAAAACGCCTGAAACTCTCATTGCGGCTCTCATTCCTCTCTGTAGAAATACTGTTATGCAGTCCCCTTGGCAGGAATGATATTTTAAAATAATCACATCATCCCTTATCCTCTGTAAAAATCCTCTTATGTACACCTCTTTGGCAGCAGTGACATTTTAATCAGATCAATTTCCAAATAACAGAAGGAGATTGCTGGCAGCATGGAAAAAACAGGCCCCAGAGGAAGGGAATTGAAAAAGCTGACAAAGACGTGGGTGGTTCTGAAGACATGCTGCGCAAGTGTGGTTTAGCAGAATGCTGGCTGTCGGGTGTCTGAACAGTGAGCACCACTTAGCAAGAACTTGTGTGTTGCAGACTCCACACAAGGGCCTCTGCAGGTTAACAAACGGGCGGACGGCTGGTTCTCTGAACCCCCCAATCTTCTTATGTAATAAAATAAACATGAGTCACCATCTTAAGAACTTCAGGATTTTTTTCAAGCTTTTAATGAAATACTTCTCTCTTTTGTTTCTGTTTTGCTTTTTTTTTTTAAGAGAGATTTTTGCTATAATGTGCGTGCACATGCCAGAGAGACAGAGAGAGACAGAAAGTGAGAAATCACCCCCTGGGGAGATGGCCATGCTACAACCCCTCCTCCTCCATTCTTCTCTCAGGATTCTAGGCACACATGTACATGCACCCGATCCCAGTTTCAAGACTCCAGGTCTGAGACTTGAACTGAGGTCAGCCATATGGGAATTCAGCGCCTTAATCACCACACCACCTACTGTACCTCAGGTCTGCTTTCAGTATTTAACTTGAGCAAGATTTTTTTTTAAGTTTTTGCTATAGGGTGCTTGAGCTTATAGAAGAGAAGGGGAGTGGAGTGAGAAATCGTCCCCCCCCACCCTGGGGCATGACTACATCACAATCCCTTCTCCATTCTCTTCTCAAGATTTTTGGGCCAGCAGGTAGTATGGCAGTTAAGGGTGCTGGACTCCCACATGCTCAACTACGGTTTGAGTTCCGGACCTAGCAGCTTGCATTCTCACTCCCCCCACCCTCTCTCACACACACTCTGTCCCTCTCTGGTCAAATTAAAAGAAATAAGTAAAATTAAATAAAATAATTCTTAAAAATAAAAAACTGGGGCACGCATGTACATGCCCTCAGTGTGTTTCTCAAGCTGCCAGGTCCAGGACTTGCATCACAGAGTCAGCCACATGGGATCCAGCACCTTAACCACCATGTCACCTCTTGGCCCTAACTTGAGCAATTTTTTTTTTTTGGAGAGGTTTTTGCTATAGGGCACATGCACTCGCCAGAAAGACAGAGATAGACAGAAAGCGAGAAATCACCCCCCAGGGGGATGGCCACACCACAATCCCTTCTCCTCCATTCCCCTCTCGGGATCTTGGGCATGCACGCACACACACCCGGCGTGAGTTTAAGCCATCGGGTCCAGGACTCAAACCTGGACACAGTCAACTACGTTGGAGTTCAGTGACATAGCCATTACGCTAACTGCTGGTCCCCACTGAGCAATTTTAATAGAAGACTTATTGAGCTAGGTAATGGGGGAGAGACTGCCACAGAAGGCTGTTGGGGTCAATCTTCAAACAAGAGGTGCAGGTATTGCTCTCTGTGCTGTGCACAGAAAGAACGTTCTGATCCACTGCAGCGTGATTATGTAAGAAAGCTCATTTCTTTTTATATTTATGTTCTAGACTTAAAAAAAAAAAAAAATCAACAGCAGACCTTAAGCATTACTTTTAATGTTAAAAAAAAACACCTTAAAAAACTTATCACAAATAGATGGCTACTTATTTTACAGGACTATCCCAGTGTACCTGTGTCCATATCTTAGTTATTAAATAAAATGAAAACGGGGGCCAGCAGGTGGCATGGTGGATAGGGGCGCTGGACTCCCACATGGCCAACCACGGTTCAAGTCTCGGACCTGGTGGCTTGTTTTCTCACTTCCTCTCTCTCTCTGCCTCTCTCTGATCAAACTGGAAAATAATAATGATAATAATAATAAATAAAGTAAAATAAAATAATTCTTAAAAAAATAAAAATAAAAAAAAAAACGTAAATACATAAAATGAAGCTTTTCCATTTCGCATGGTATGACAGTTCATTACCTTGACTATAGGGGGCATTCAGGCATGCACTAAACACACATTTATTTATTCACTGAACACCTGCTACATACCAGATACTGCCCAAGGGGAACGGGATGACCCCTGCTGTGAGGAGAGCACATACTGCTCACTTTTCCTACCCTAAATCAGATTTCCGGAGTTTTAATTTAATCTCTGACACAGACACTGTCTCTTCCTAACCATATGCTTTATTCTCTAGTCTTCAATCTTTTAACGTGGGATTAAAAATTGCTAAACACAGCCAGATTAAAAATGCCTAAATCCAGGCAAGGCTAACATCAAATACGGCTTTACTGCCAACCCAGTTACTCCATTATGTATATAAGCAAACACTACTGAAAACACTATACCTCATCGAAATGCTGCTGTAGTGTAGAGCCAAATAACTTGCACCATGGAAGGATCAAATATTTACCAAACAGTGAAAATTTTTATTAAGATTTGATAATAACAAAATAGAAAATTAAAGTAGAGCTTCTTGGGGCAGCAGGCGTTATAGTGGTTAAGGTGCTGGACTCCCACATGGCCAAATGCGATTTGAGTCCCAGACTTGGAGGCTTGAAACTCTCACTGGGTGTGTGTAAATGCAAGCCCAAAATCCTAAGAGGAGAATGGAGGAGGAGGGATTGTGGTGCGGTCATCCTCCCAGGGGGTCATCTCTCAGTTTCTTTCTCTCTATCTCTAACAAAAATGTCTCAAAACAAAAACAAAAACAAAGAACTTCTTGTACTGACCCCATAGCATAGTGGTTAGGGAACTAGAGCCAACATGGACAACCCCAGTATGAATCCTGTGTGTGTGCATACTCTAAATCCTGGCAAGCTGGAGAAATGGAAGAGAAGGACGGCAGCATGACCAGGCCCACTGAGAGGTGATTTTTCCCTTTCCTTCTCTCTAGTGAGGGCATGTCCACTCTGGCAGTTCAAAAGAAAACAAAAACTAATAAAAATAAAGTTTCTCCATTCAGAGACATTATGAACAATTGAAAGGGACACAGGAGAAATGGGGAATGACATTTATTATACTTCTACTCTTAAGGAATATTTGAAAGGATAATTTTTAAAATTATTTATTTAATTCTATTTGTTAGCATTATTACTTATTTATTTATTTATTTATTTATTTTTTGGAGAGGTTTTTGCTATAGGGCGCATGCGCTCACCAGACAGATAGAGAGAGACAGAGATAGAAAGTGAGAAATCACCTCCCAAGGGGGATGGCCACACTGCAATCCCTTCTCCTCCATTCTCCTCTCGGGATCTTGGGCACGCACGCACACGCACCCGGCGTGAGTCTAAGCCGCCGGGTCCAAGACTTGAACCGAGGCCAACTACGTGGGAGTCCAGCGACATAGCCATTACACTAACTGCTGGTCCCATCATCATTATTACTTTTTTTAAAATTTGACCAGAGAAGAGAAAGAAAGTGAGAAAGCAAATTGCCAGGTCTGGGATTTGAAACACAGTCGGCCATGTGGGAATCTGGCACCTTTAACCACCATGCGACCTGCCAACCCCTAAAAGGATAATTTTAGAGAAATTCCAATTCATTGTGACTGCTTAAACAGAATATAGTTTATTTTATTGATTTTTCATGAATGGATAAACTGCTTCAATCTCAAGCATAAAAATAAATTAACCAAAGTAAGCTTTAGAATTTTCTGTCCTATGCTAAATTTTTCTTCTGTCTAATTCCCAACTTTCTACAAAGGACACCTGACTAGGAACTTTGAAATGCTTTGCAAAATATGTAAACATCTGCCTTTAGTGCTACCAGTGTTCCCTACATCTGGCATTATTATTAGGTTATGAGGATAGTCACGATGTCTTTTTTCTTTTTTCTGTGCAAAAAGGAACTATGGCTTTCCCAATGACCCAATACATAGATAAAATATTTGTTCCTTTTTTCTTCCTATCACTGGGATATTAATTGTTTTTTTCAAGAGAGATTTTTGCTATAGGGTGCATGCACTCGCCAGAGAGACAGAAAGCGAAAAATCACCCCCTGGGGAATGGCTACACCACAATCCCATCGCCTCCAGTCTCCTCTTGGGATTTTGGGCATGCATTTATACACACCCAGCGTGAGTTTGAAGTTGCCAGGTCCGGGGCTCAAACCATGGTCAACTACATGGGAGTCCAGCAATGTAACCATTACACCATCTGCTGGTCCAGAGATATTAAAATATAAAACCCTGTACAGCACTAAACCAACCATAACAGAAATTTAAAATGTGTGAGAGAAGAAAAAGAAGGATCTGAAGTCCATATCCTACCAACGGAAACATCCACAAATGGGTTACAAAGGGGTAAATAATACCAAGAAAGCAACCTCTTCTGAAATCCTACTAACGTTTTTTTTAAGTGGGCAGCTGCATTCCAAGAATACTAATGTATCAGGAAATGGATTTAGTTCATTTATAGATATAAATCAAACCATCTTAACATAAGCAGAGAACAAAGCAGACTAAAATGATTGACCCAATGGCCCATGCTTTTCATTCTACCTACTATAAAGTATTCATCGGGGGGGAGAGTACTGCTTATCCCTGTTACATAGAGAAGGATAAATGTATTTTGTTATAAAGCACAGTACAGAAACTTGGGTTTTGGGTAAAGGAAAGGCATACTTGTAAATAGGGCGAGTTTGGAAATGTGTGTCTGTCTACTGCACATTTCAAATGCCCCATTCTTCTCTGCATTGTCATAACTTAATGGGAAATGAGAATGAAACACTAATTATATGACCAGGAAAGCCAGCAGGGAGAAGAGCAGGTCCATATGCTCACTCATCCATGTAAATTCAGTTTACACAAGGAACAAATTTTAGATGTAAGGATTAAGAATTTTGATATCGTCGGGTGTGTGTGCGTGCATGCCCAAAGTCCCAAGAGGAGAATGGAGCAGAAGGGATTGCAGCATGGCCATCCCCCCATTAGATCTCAAATTAGAATTTTGGCCCTTGGGATGGCATGGTAGCTAAGATGTGGGACATTCACCTGGCTGACCATGGTTCAAGTCCTGGAGCTGGTGTCTTTCTTTCTCACTTTCCCTTTCTCTCTGTCTTTCTCCAGTCAAATTTTAAAATGTAATAATAAATAAGATGAAATAAATAATTCTTTAATAACAATAATAATTTTGGGACCAGCAGATGGCATAATGTTATGCTGCTGGACTCCTATGTAGTCAATCATGATTTGAGTCCCAGACCCGGCAGCTTAAAACTCATGCTGGGGGACCAGCAGTTGGTGTAGTGGTTATGTTGCTGGACTCCCATGTAGTTGACTGTGGTTCGAGTCCCAGACCTGGTGGCTTAAACTCACGCCGAGCATGTGTGAGTCTGTGTGTGCCCAAGATCCCGAGAGGAGAATGGAGGAGAAGGGATTGTAGTGTGGCCATCCCCCTGGGAGGTGATTTCTCGCTTTCTATCTCTCTGTCTTTCTGGCGAGGTATGTGCCCTATAACAAAAACCTAAAAAGAAAAAAAAACCCAAAAACTCATACTGGACACACGTGCATGTATGCCCAAAATCCCAAAAGGAGAATGAAGAAGGGATTGTGGCGTGCCCATCCCACCAGGGGTAATTTCTCATTTTCCATCTCCCTGTCTCCTCAGTAAGCACACGTACCCTATATCAAAAATCTCTCTAAATAATAATAATAATAATGATTCTGGCCTTCAAAGTAATCTCCAGTTCTACAGTGGGTCAGCCACCAGCTGAACGTTTTCTGAAATGTCAACGTCTATATTACAAAGGTGTACAATGAGCGTTAGCAAGCACTATTTGGTTCTCTCTCCACTGTCGTTTATATCACCCAAATGTCTAAAATAAACATCAGACATTTAGAATATTATTTCTTCATAAGTCATAAAACTTAAGAAGCATGATTTTCTTGTTGTTTCCTAATTCAAAGGTATAAAATTCCATCAGATGCTCTCAAGTGATAACTTTTAAAATCTAATAAGTGGAGCAGTGTGAAGAAGAAGAGGCGAGAGCGACCTCCGGACTGACCAAAGCCTGTGCACTGCTGCATCCCGCATGTCCAGCCGGGATGCCCAAGAGAAAGGCTGAACGGGATGCTAAAGGAGATAAAGCCAAGGTGAAGGACAAACCACAGAGAAGATCTGCAAGGTTGTCTGTGAAACCTGCTCCTCCAAAGCCAGAGCCCAAGTCTAAAAAGGCCCCTGCAAAGAAGGGAGAGACGGTGCCCAAAGGGAAAAAGGGAAAAGCTGATGCTGGCAAGGATGGGAATAACCCTGCAGAAAATGGAGATGCCAAAACAGACCGGGCACAGAAAGCTGAAGGTGCTAGAGATGCAAAGGGAAGTGTGTGCATTTTTGATAACTGTGTACTTATGGTGACTGTACAGTTTGAAATACTATTTTTTATCAAGTTTTATAAAAATGCATAATTTTGTTTTACCTTTTTTTTTTTTAAGCTATGTTGTTAGCACACAGAACACTTCATTGTTGCTTTTTGGGGAAGGGGCATTTGTCACTAATAGAATGTCTCTGAAGCTGGATTGATTTGGACAACATCTTTCCCGTCTAGTTTTTTGGGATTTTTTTTTGTTTTTGGAGAGGTTTTTCAGTATAGGGTGTGTGCGCTCGCCAGACAGAGAGAGAGACAGAGAGACAGAAAGCGAGAAATCACTCCCCAGGGGGGATGGCCATGCCGCAATCCCTTCTCCTCCATTCTCCTCTTGGGATCTAAGACACGCACGCACACACGCCCAGCGTGAGTTTTAAGCCACCGGGTCCGGGACGCGAACTGCGGTCAACTACGTGGGAGTCCAGCGACATAGCCATTACGCTAACTGCTGGTCC